GCTATTTTTTGGATTTCAAGTGATCTTTCATACGATGAAAGTGCTTTCGGATACTCGCCCATGTTATCATACACCATACCGATGTTGTTGTAGGATTGAGCAACGTCGGGATGATTCGGAGGGAGAGCTATTGTTCGGATTTCAAGTGATCTTTCATACGATGAAAGTGCTTTCGGATACTCGCCCATGTTATAATACACCATACCGATGTTGTTGTAGGATTGAGCAACGTCGGGATGATTCGGAGGGAGAGCTATTATTCGGATTTCAAGTGATCTTTCGTACGATGAAAGTGCTTTCGAGTACTCGGCCATCGTATCATACACTGAAGCGATGTTGTTGTAGGATCGAGCAAAGTCGGGATGATTCGGAGGGAGAGCTATTTTTTGGATTTCAAGTGATCTTTCGTATGATGAAAGTGCTTTCGAGTACTCGCCCATGTGAGAATACACCATACCGGTGTTGTTGTAGGATTGAGCAACGTCGGGATGATTCGGAGGGAGAGCTATTGTTCGGATTTCAAGTGATCTTTCTAGCGATGAAAGTGCTTTCGAGTACTCGCCCATGTTATCATACACCATACCGATGTTGTTGTAGGAAGTAGCCAAGTCGGGATGATTCGGAGGGAGAGCTATTTTGAAGATTTCAAATGATCTTTCATATGATGAAAGTGCTTTCGGATACTCGCCCATGTTATCATACACCATACCGATGTTGTTGTAGGAAGTAGCCAATAAGGAATGATTCGAAGGAAGAGCTATTTTGAAGATTTCAAGTGATCTTTCTAGCGATGAAAGTGCTTTCGAGTACTCGCCCATGTTATCATACACCATACCGATGTTGTTGTAGGATTGAGCAACGTCGGGATGATTCGGAGGGAGAGCTATTTTTCGGATTTCAAGTGATCTTTGATACGATGAAAGTGCTTTCGAGTGCTCACCGATATGAAAATACACCGCACCGATGTTGTTGTAGGATTGAGCAAGGTCGAGATGATTCGGAGGGAGAGCTATTTGTTGGATTTCAAGTGATCTTTCATACGATGAAAGTGCTTTTGAGTAGTCGCCCATGTTATAATACACCAT